CACCCAGTACCCATCACCCACAGCCGCCAACAACAACAACAACAACAGCAACAGCAACAGCAACAGCAACAGCAACAGCAACAACAGCAGCAGCAGCAGCAACAACAAACCGCAACAACAAACCGCAACAACCTGAAACCACCTAGCAGACTGCTGCGAGACAGCCAAGCTTGCTATTTTGAGCAACGGAGGCTGCGCGAGCAGTGAACCAGCTTACGGACACTGCCCCTCGGCTGAACGCATTGCTCATGGCATTGTATGAGTTGTTGATGTCTGATGCTTTCTATGGTTTTGTGGTGGGCCTAAAAAAACCTTGCCGATTAACGTGGAGCTATAAACTCCTCATGCTCAGGAGATCAAAGGCCGCCTGGGGCTGAGAGCGAACGCAGTCACTGGGCCATCCCCACAGCACACCTTGCCGAGTTGAGACGGATATTCCCTGAATCAGTTTCATGAAGTTGTGTGGGCGATTGGCCTTAGTAAGTTGCCACGCTGGCGTGCTCCTTGAGGAAAAATCTTCGTCAGAGAAGATCGGGAGCTGACACCTTAGCAACGATCAGGAAGGAGCCCCGAACGACTGCCTTTCCACAAATTGGCATCTCTTTGATTACGTATGCGAAGTTGTTTTGTACTCTTTTTTTTACCTCATGATATAGTCCCAAAGCACCTTCTGCAGACTGAGGCCTCAGCGACCGGCACAGCGACCGGCACATAGTGGACCGGGGTGGGTAAAAACTCGTTAAATTGGCTGCTTGGAGTTCTTCCTGCAGGAGGCCGCAAAGTCTTTGTCGGGCTTTGCACTAAGATTTGCATGGCTCCAGCCCAGTAATTCTCACAGTGAGAGCCTGAGGATGGACTTTTTTCGACTGAATTGAGGAACCTGCCATACAGCGTCACCTGGCAGGCCATAGACAAGCCTGTGGTGGAGAGATGCAACGCAAGCAAAAAATGCCTACGAACCCAAAGAAGAGCTAAACAGCTAAAGGAGCCGGCCGTGTACATGGCTTCATGCTAAGCCGCTGAGCCTGCAGAGGCGCTGAAGGACCACATGAGGCAATGCGGAGAGGTCATGGGCTTGGTAACTTACTTTGGCGCTGCTCATGACCAGCAAAAGGTAGAAGTACATCTGTTGATGATTATCAGATTGAATATGTGTGGCAATTCAGGGACATTCATCTGAAGATTGGAGTTGACGAAGAGAGGTCCTACGCTGTGATATTTTAGCGGAGCCTGGCACAGCCTCGAACCCAGAACTCTTCAAGGGGCTCATTATGTTCGATTTTTCCTTCCGCATCAGCCTCGCTCTCCTCTCAAAGTCACACCGAGGCGCTGGGATCCAAAGGTTGCGGTTGGGCCCTTGTATCTGTCGAGGTTGCCTTGCGAATGGTGGCAGGCAAATTCAAGGTGGACTCAAACGACAGAGAAAAAGCAACCGTGCTTTTCACGCGTCTGGGCCGCCTGTTGTAGCATTTGACATCCGAAGACCAAGGCATTGTGGAGTATGCTTCTGCCGCTGCGGCACAGCGGGCCATTCGAGAGCTGCAGTGTTCTCAGATGTTCTCAGCTATCTGTGCAGCTTGAGCCTCGTTTCCTGCTCAAGTGTGTCCAAGCATGTCCACAGAAGGCTAGAAACTTGAAAGACACCAGTCGATTTCTAGGGACTGAACCTCTTCGGAGGTTCAAAGTGTTTGCGGCAACTTAGGGTTTGCATTAAAGAGGTGTGCAAGGCAGGTTTCAGCAGTCAGTCGCGGCCAGCTGTCGGAGATTTAAGTTCCTGTGCAAGGTCAGATACAGACCTGAAGGGTCGCCTCATCTTCGTGCGTCTGACACCCTGCAGAAGTTTTCTTCCTCTGCTCGAATTGCGCCAAGGTATGTGCTCAGTAGTGTTGGGTGTTGTTCTAAGATGTTGAAGTACCGAAAGGAAGCAAGAACTTGTGCCTTCTAGCTGCAGCTGTGGAATATGGCGAAGCTGTTGTTGCTTGGGCTGAGGGGAAGACCGCGAAGATGACGGCTCCTCTCGAGGAGCAACAAATGCTGCTTCCTTTGGCTGCTCGGGATTGGGAGCATGTACCAGGCCGGCGTGAACTTGCTGCTCCGGCCGCTCGGTGGAAAGTTGCCCCACAACAGCATGCAGACGATGGAGTTGAGTCTCCTGAGTGCAAGGTGTCGCTACGAGCCCGAAGCAGGCATTGAGCCTAAATAACTAAATTAAGCTTGGCCTCTCTTGAGTTCACTTGAGCTGTGCAAGGTCGTATGACGAAAGGAAGTGGCGGCCAGTTGGAGGCCGCGAAAGGGAAACCCCTCAACATCTCAGCCTGAATCATGTGAGGCCGAGATGCTGATCGTGGAGGCGAGCTACGATTGCCGCATGTTGCTGCATGTTGCTGTTGCTGGTTCCATTTCCCAGTCCCGTCCTGGCGCAAGAGCAGGTGGAGCGGGTGCGGGTGGACCGGGTTGCCGAGTGTTTGTTGGGAATCTGGCCTACAGCAGTGGCCTCAGCAATGACCCATACAGCCACACAGGGAATGTGACATCAGCAGCTCAAGGCGTGACATGGCAGGAGCTCAAGGATCCCGTTGTGACAATTCACCTTGCATTTAATCTATCTAAATAGATTTGTATGTGTATAGTACATATGTATATATATTATACATATTTGTATGCATACATATGCAAATCAGATTGTGGCGAAGAGTGCCAGCACCAGGACCATATGCGGGATGCGGGCGACGTGCTGCTGGGGGCTGAGATGGATTCCGCATGCGACTCCCGCGTACAGAACGTCGATCGCGGACTGATTGTGGTAGCATGATTCAGCGGTTGGGACCGTTTTGGTTGGGGTGCGCCTCTTTTTGCTTTGATACTGCAAGCACCGGCTGCACAGTTACATCATGATTACTCCCGTGCCCTTACTGAGTACTGTCGACCTCGCATTACAACCCCCCCCCCGATTGATCTATCTCTGTCCCGAGAGAGCCCCGGAATAATAATGCCAGAAATGTACTTTAGAAAGCGTATTTAGAGTTAATCAAATTCCAGTCAAAAGCGTTGTCCCCAAAAAAATTACACGTTTTTGTGATTTGTAATTGTGGGGGGAATTAAATTGGTTTCGGCGCTGGGATCTTTGTAATTGAGGGGGAAGTCTGGATTTGAGGTCAACAGTAAACAAGGCTTCATGAAGGTCCAAATTCATTTTTAGAAAAGCATGGCGTCCCCGCCTAGAGCTGCCAAGCCCCCTCCCTGAACCAATGCAGAGACTGAGGGCCAGCCACTGAAGAGTTCTCCCCTTCGTTTTGATTCTTGCGGGTACCGAACATGTTGATTTTCAGGGTTGGGGTTGGCGGATTTGGGGTCGAGATCTGTGAATCTTAGTTGAGCTTGAGGCAATTGAGATGCGAACCTTTGCGGGCTTTCCTAGTTCGAAGCGAACATGCTGCTGTCCTGACACACAAAATGGGTGTGTCTTGCTTAGAGGGAAATAGGAAGATCAAGATTCACTTGCTTGCTTAGCATCCAGCGTTTCTGGGTCCGTGGGCAAAGTGCACCACGACCGAAAGCAGCTCGCTGAACAACAGCTGGTCACGTCCGAGTTGTTTCTCCAATCTCAGTTGACTTGCAAGGTTCTGCCAGATCTTGAAGGAGCCCGGAACAGCACTGGGTGGCTCGGCAGGTTAAGTGAAGCTCCCCATAATCTATGATGCTCTCAATGCTCTCTGTCCTTTCCGAGCCCAGGCTCGAAGGGCTGCGCGCTGGTGGAGTACAGCAGCCCTAAGGAGGCCAAGTCCTGCATCCACCAACCAGCGAAATCCAGCGAAGCCTTTCTCAGATTCAGGCGACGCGTGCAATCGCAATGATGACTGACAGCGAGCTCCGGGGCAGGACCTCTTGCGGATGCCCTCTTCCTTCTGTCCGTCTGTCCGTGGCTATGCAGTTTGAAGTAACTCAATTAACTTGATGATGCGAGGAGAGCCTTCCCAAGATGACCTCTTGGAAAAAAACATACAACCTGCACAAACACATGTGCAACAACATCGCGATACAAAGGGCATTTGGCAAGTGCCAAAAACCAGAGGGGCTCAGTCGCCATCTACAATACAATGTCTAATTCAAGGGCTGGCGCCGCTGCCGCCGCCAACCCCGGCACTGCCAGTAGGGAGTTGGGAGGGGTGTCTGAGGGCCTGGAGGCGGAGCTAGGAGGGACGCTGGGAGGGAGCGCAGGATTTAAATTTCTCTGAGTAAAAATGGGGCAAGGGCAGGGGCCCAGAACCAACACCCATTCTGAAAAAAAAAGTTGACCCTGAATGAGGCTGTGTGAGGCCTGAGAAGCGAGAAAGAGATGTAGAGGAACACGGAGCAAGAAAGGCTTCACCGTTGGGGTCGGAGGATATGTGCTGTTGTTCTTTTTCTTTGACTGTGTGTTGTCTTCAAGCCAATGGCTCAACCAATCTCATAAGTCGTGTCAGGAAGATATGGGTGCGCGAGGACCGCGAAGCAGCTCGTCTGAAGGTGAGTTTCGTGCAAATCTTTGGTAAGCGTATCAAGAACCTTGTTTTGATGCCGACTAAGGGATGAGCAGCGCGGCTGGGCTGTGTACAAAATGGAGCTCAACTCCACTTGCATTAGTGTGCAGCGAGACGATGTATGGGACAGAGACAGTCGTTGCAGCATGCATTGCACTTCTCGAAGTCCTTGAGCTTCGCTTTTCAGGATGCCAGCATAGTGACGAGCTGAAACTAGAACAAATGCAAGACGTCATGTTCATCTGTGGAGTCTAGCTTATGCCCCAAAAAGCAGCTGCCAACGGATGACGGACACCTTTGACTGTGAGAAACTTGTACGTGGCAAATGCCGCAGCAGTCTCACCCAGCGATGGCTTATGTCAATGGTTGGAAGATTCCAACCCTGCCAAGTGCACAGGACAGGTGCAAACGGAAGAGAAACACTTAAGAGCTGAGGGTAGCTCAGAGGAGAGTGTGAGGATTTTCTCAGAGTCTTGTGAGGATGTTTGAACTCTTCCGGGCCTTTTGCTCGGTGGCAAGCTGAGAGCCTTTGCTGAGAAGTCTGCGAGAGTTGCTAGAGTGGATTTTATCTTAGGGGGGCAGCTGTGCTCGCGCCGAAAGCAGTGATGGCGCTCTAGCCCCGCCACCTCCAAGCCAAAGCCAGATCCTGAGACGTCTGAGACTGCAAATCATCATCTTGGATAGCAGTGACAGTGTCTATCAGAAGCCAGTTCAGCCTAGCTGCCTGGCAAGTTGTAGCGGGGAAAGTTCAGGCCGTCCAGACTCCAAAGGCGGCGCCTTGGCAGTTCCTTTGAAAACTAAGTTTTTTTTTGGGGGGGGAGCTCCAATTGACAGGTGGAGGCTTTCTCGACGCCTTGTCGCTCAAGTGGTGGCCTTGCTGTTCAGGATTCCTTTGCATCTGAAGACAGAGCATTCTCCTGGAACCAGGCCCTCGATTGTGGATGATGGAGAGTTGCTGTTCCCGCCACGCCAGGCTTGAAAAAACTGCAGATTATGCAAGTCCTGCTTTTCAATTGTTTTTGAAGAGGAATAGGGTTGTTCGATGAAGCAGCCTGCCATCAGAGCTCAACTCGATCACGGTCAGAAAAACCACGGAAATCTGCACAACCAGCTGCTGATGAAGCTCAATGCTCGTGATTCCATTGATTTTTTTGAGCTTTTTTGCTGATTTTGTCGTTTGCGGACAGCGCCTTGCAGATTTTGTTGATTGCATGTTTACTTAGCCTGCAAACGTTTCGCCGAGCAGGTAAGGCCCCGCGGTTCCAGCGTTCGGCCGAAGGGTGCAAGGTGCAGAGCATCGCATGGGTCTTTCGCACCCAAGTCTTCTCTTCATTTTAGACGTAGTTCTCTTCCAGGAGTTAAGTCTACAGGCCTTAGCAGCTGCAGCTGCTGCTGCCTGCCTTCCCAATCACTTCCTTTCACTTTCCAGGATAGGACTTGTCATGCATGAAAGCGACTGGTTCTGATTAGTTGCCTGAAATTTGATCAGTTTACGATTCCGCGCTGGAGACAGGTGGTCCCAGCGCTCACAGTACACTGGCGCGGACTTCCAGGAGGGTAAAGTGATGTGGGTGTCGATAAAGATGTACTCCTGTCTGAGATGTTGATGGAGGACCTGCCCAATGCAGGTGCTCTCCGCCATTGGCCCAGTGAATCGCGGCCCTAGGCGGACACGACGTGTCTGCCTGTAGGGAGATTCTGGCAGAGACGGCCATTTAGCAGCTCACTGAACAACAGTGAGCGACTTATGGGCAGCGACGACTTTGAAATGCGCACAGAAGATCCGTGCTTGCTTGGAGGCCGCAAGACACTCATTGGGTCTCTGCCTTGCCCAAGATGTGACTCTCATACTATGTAAACTGCTTTTACTTTAAGAGACATTTGGAGTGCCGCAGCGCTTGGCTCGCTTGCCATTGGCTGCCCGGTCACAGGCATGGATGCTGCAATATAGTGAAAATCAGGCATTCAACACATCTTGGCGTCCCTCAAGGCCCAGCGCAGCGCCGCAAGGCGCATGGCTCGTGGCAGAGGCCGTGGGACAAGAGGCCCGCGTTTTGCGCGTTGCCGGGAAGAATGTGAGAAAAAGGGCCCTCAAATAGACTGAGGACCTACGGCCTCTGAGCCTGATGCGGCGGCGCCATCATCAGCAGGGCTGCAGCCTCAGCGCCAGCAGGGCCAGCAGCCTCGAAGCACATTTGGAATGACAACAGCTCGATTCCATGTAGTCTTGACTTGTTTCTGTTAAATCAGGAGCCAGTCGGGGATTTGTTAATGTCTTACATCAGCAGGGGCCAGGTCTTCAATATTCCTGATCGGTGGATAGCATGGGCTTTTGGAGCCTGCCATGAAAGTGGAGAGATGACGGCAGGAACCCCGTGCGCAGGCGAGGAATCCGGCGGGACTCGGACCGCGAGTCAGAGCGCCCGCGGGAGGCAAGAGCCGTGTGCGAGCCCCGGTTGTGCCGCTACGACTCCACGCCACCTCACATACCTCACCCATTCATACAAGCACGGCATGTAGCATGCTATGCACAACAGCCCGAGCTTGGATTGAGATACTACGCCTTCTGAAGCAACAAGCTGCAACAGTCTCCCATAATTCAACAAGCTTCTGTGCAAGGCATCTTAGAGCCGGATGGGTCTTCTGTGACTTAGGCGACGGGGGGTCGACAAAGAGATTTACAAGTTGCAGCAGGACAGCTTTGCCTTGCAAAAAGTCACTAATGTCTGCCGTCCCGTGAGTTGCTTGATGCTGGCAGACGCACAATTATCTATCGATTCCCAAATCCAACTTTGCCCGGTTGGTTAGAGAAATTCAGTATGCACCTCAGCTTTTCAATTTCCTTGCATCCCTGATTGGGTTGCGCGAAGCGACAGCTTTTGCCAGGTTGAGCTTCGCCGAGGACAGCCGCAGACAATCCGGTCTCAAAAGTAGCTTGCTGAAAGCTGTGCTGACAACGAGACGCCTGTGGCGCTACCTCTGCAAAGTTCGAGTGAGCTGATTGATGCAGGAACCCTTGCGCTTCAGCTCAGAAGCTCTGGAACTTCTCCAGGCTGCTACAGAGGAGATCTCTGACTCAAAGCCTCTGTGTTGGCCGTCTCTCCATTCTAATCTTTCGGCCGCCTTCTTGCATTTGATTGAGCGAAGGCGCGCCCCTGCGTACAGGAGTACTTGATGTACTTGTTTGCTGACGGATACCTGGTCTCAATCTCACGCGGGAACACTTGAAAAAACGCCCGCTCATTGCTGAAAGCTTCCAGGCCACGGCCCACCGGCGGCGCAAGACACTGAGCTCGGAAGACGTGCGGTTGGTACGGCGCCTGCGGCAGCTGGGGTCCCAGAAGAACAGGGACACATTGAGAGAAACGATTCATTCAGGAATGATTCCTTGAATTTGTCAAACCAAGGCCACACTGTTGGGGAGAGACGCGGTGATCTTCTCTTCCGCACTGTAGCATCAACACAATCTGAAACTCATCATCTTCAGGCTGCCCATCTTAAAGCTTACTAAAAGAACGTAGCCTTTTTTCGCCTCACACTGGTGAGGGATGGAGGAGCCTTTTGCAGTCACATTTGACGATTCCGAATGGCAGGGAGAACCTTGCCATGGAAGCGACTCGGGGGCAAAGAGTCTCATTCAATGAATGATGCCATTAAAGTCATGGCGGGCACGAAGTCCCGCGGGTTGTGCCCAACATGGGATCCAGCTTCTGGCCAGGAAGGTAAACAGTGAAACGCACATTTTGGGACCTGTAGTAGAAACCTGACGTCAACTGAGAGCTGGGTGGGCACAGCTGAAGAGATTTCGTGCGTGCATTTCTAGGCATGCTTCAGGAATCGCTGCATCGTTGTCTGCCTTACATGGCTTAACAACACAATATCCTACTAGTGCATTAATTGTGTTGAGAGCGCAGCTGCTAGACAAACCGCTTCGCTCGACGCCAAGCGGCCAAGCCTGACCTGCCAGCATCAAAATCCACAGAGCGCCAGAAGCGGCAGGCAATGTTGTTTCTGAATAGGTACATTCTATGACGCACTGACATTTCATCCCGCTAAGACCAAGAGGTTCCAATGCTTCTGCTGCTTGGTACGTCGACGTTGTACTTGCAACTGTGAAGGCGGGAAGCCTCCAAGTTAAAGCAGAGCTTGAGCGCTTGAAACCCTCTTGAAAGTCTTGAGGGACAAGCGAAGTTATGAATGGCAGCTCCAAATTCGGCTGCTGCCAACGTAGGCAAGAGTTTCACAATTAAGTCGTGATTGTGGTCGGTCATCCTGGCAGCCCGGCTGACCCTCTCTGATGCTGATTGACTTCTGCCCGCCATGGCCATGTATGGCCCATATTCAATCAACATGGATGTAGCTTTGCCGGACTGCATGGTCACATCTCTCGTTGGCCTGCGTTCTCGTAAGAGCGTGATACCAACAAGAGATCCACGTTAACCTTTAATCTGCTTCGCGGCACATGGTCAAGAGTAGGAGAAAAGGAGGACAATGCAGATTGTTCCAGCATGCTGGCGATGGGCACGTAGCTGTTCTCTGCAGACATTTTCAGCAGCTTGGCATTGGGATGACGCCGGAGAATGCCAGCCGTTGCATACTCTGCGCATTCCCGGAATGGAACTCAAACGCCCGATTGAAGCCTTCCTCTTCAACGTTGCTGGTATCATGGATTTCGCAGGACTGTTGCAAAGGCACTGACAGCATTACACAGAAAACGCTGCTGTGACTTCTGCATTGCAGCACACTGGCCAGCTTCGCCATGCGAGCTCCCAAAGCGCCGGACCATCGCTGGAAGGACAAGCAAGGCCAATTTGAGTTGGAATTTTCCCATTTTCAGCGATGCGCCAGGCTTGGTATAGGCCCTTTGCTGTCGCGTTCGCACCCGCCTGAGCAGCCACTCCAGGCTTCAAACGCAGCGCTGAGAGACAGCAAGTTGCGCGTCAAGCCAAGGCCTGCGCGGCCTCTGGCCACAACCTGGGGTATTTGAATTCTAGCGGAGTGTGGGCCTCAAGATGCAACTGACCAAATGGAATCATCACAGAGACAGGTGGGTCGCAACAGGCCGCACAAGTCCAAGACCGTCAGAAACAAAGCATTCCCATGCGTGTGCCGCGCTCCTTCTCACTGATCTATGACTGGGTGAAGCGAGGCAGACGCTAATGTCCCAACCGAGCCGGCTTTGGTGCTGCCTGCATCTTGTGGCAGAGCGCTTTGTGTCATTTCAGTCGCTGGCTTAGGTTCACATGACTTGACGACAGAACGCACACATAAATTTGCCTTAACTTGTTGCTGCCGCTGCCGCTCAATTGCCTAATTTCTCAGCACTGCTTGAGCTTTTCGGACACGACCTAATGCTGGCCCCAAGCCCAGCACGGTTGAAGCATGTGGGGCCTCTGCACGGTGCGACCGGCAGACCAAGGGGGCAAACCTTGCAAAAGCCTCATGTGAGACTTGTGGAGCTTGGGCTAGGGGTCAGCGCCCTCTTGGCACTACCAAAGGCCCCGAAAACTCGGGCACTGCCATTGAGAGCCCAGCTGGTGCGGCTGCGGGCAGAGGGGGACGTGGAGGACCCACTACTGGCAGAGGCAAAGGCAGCTGCTGAGGCTGCAAGGCTTCAGCTCGAGGCGGCCAAACTTCGCGCCGAAGCGGATGAGATGCGCCAGGCCACAGCACTGGCACAGCGCAAGGCGCGTGCTGTGCGGCTTCTGGGGAGCGAGGATGTACCTGGCATCGGGCCACCCGGCAGCACTTAGAAGGTTCCTGAACTTGGCATGCTTTGCACGGATGTGAACTTCTCCAAGAGGCTGCCGGAGCTGATGGCTCGGCTGCAGGAGACAGAGGGCATTGCTCTCACAGGAGAGCAAGCTTTGGCCATGGCCGAAGCCGTTGGCTTCACGGAAGAGCCCTACTTCTTCCGCTTCGACGATCTGAACTCCGAGGCCTTTGACAAGAAGCTCCTGAGCATCCAAGCTGAGGCTCAAGCAAAGGCCATGGAAGCCAAGCGCGCCGAGGAGGCAAAGGCCCGAGCGGCCCAGGCTCAGGCCCAGGCAGCCGCGAGCGCTTCAAGCGCTGCCAGCTCTGCAAACGCGACCCAAGAGGTGGTCAACGATGATCGAAGCAGCCCGGCATCAGATTGCATCAGCTTCAGCCGAACAGCTACGACTTACACTGACACGTCGTCCTTCGATATGTTTTGCTGTTCTTCTGTCTGTTCTGCGGTGCCTCTCAAGGCTTGGGACCGAGAATCACCAGCTGCCTTGCCTACATCTTGCCGCTGACAGAGGCGTTCAAGCTCATGTTCCCCCTGATTCAGATCTTCCCTCCGTTGGGCATTATTTTCGGACCCATTACGCTGGCGACACTTCTTCTGAACTATGTTCCATTTGTCCCTTTGCTGCTCTTCGTACTCTTCATCGTCCTGGCGCAATCAAAAGTGGCTTGACATGCATCTACTTGTAGAGCGCAGTGTCATGCAGTGCCCAGAATGACGTTCGGAATGATTGATGGCAAGCGCTGCAGCCTTGAAGCAGCACGCAATGTAGGAAAGTGACCCTGATCATGAAGGGAAACAGATCAAGGATCACGCCTTGCCCTGTGCTGAGGACAACGTACCCAGATTACTTCGCTTCAACCTTGAGCAGGCCATGCTCATCTTTGCCAAACTGCAGGTTCTTGATAGATCGTCATATTTGAACACTTTTGTGTCATATGCTACTTGGACTCATGCATGGCGCATATGGCACGTGGGTCCGGACGACCAAGCCACGCATGCCTGTGCGCAGTACCATGGTAGAAAGTAGTAGAAATGGTAGAGAGAAGTTCTACTTGCGACCGCCTTGGATCTCTGCACAAATCAGATGTGTTTTGGATTGCTGCACAGTGCGCCTGCAGGCAGTGCTAGTGGACATGGCGCTGACAATTCCAAGCTTCATCCTCTCAACCATGCAGCTTTCTGGTGCCGGCGAGGCATCCGTAGAAATCCATAGTTGTGGCTAGGATGGCATGCTTTTCCACGAGTTCTGATTTTGCCAAGTCACACGCAGAGGCAGTTCTCGTGGGAGGAGCCTTGGTCTTCGCCCTGGTCTTTGGCATATCAGTGCAGCTCGGACAACAGCTCAAACAGGGAGGGACCCCCGCATCCTTTCGACCAGAGCCAAGCTGCCGCAGGTATGCCGCGGCCTGCAACTTGGATGGGAAGGACCCGGACGGAGTGCCATTCATTTCCAACATCACGAAGAATGTGGTGGATAGGCCTGGGGTCAGGTCATCTGGATTCCCTCCACTCCTTGCTTTTCCACTGCCACTATGTTTTGGACAGGCAGACGTTTTTCGATGAGTCGAACGATGATCAAAAGTGAAGAGCCTGCCTGTGCCATTGCGGGACAATGATATGTTGGGTCATCGTGGCTCTGTAGAGTCGCCGTCATATAGGCCAATTTTCATGATTCATCTTTCGAGCATCGCGATTCAGAGCGGGCCGAGGCATACTTAAGCTATGTGACCAAGATGCTCCGCTTACATAGTTAGGACTTTCTTCTCCGCCTTGACCGTGTATAGGAGAGGTTCTGACAGTATCTGGCAATATACAGCTTAAATGGTGGTGAGTGAAAGCACAGAGCACGCATGCTGGAGTGCCAGCAGTCAGGGCAACCTCCTGCAATTTCTTGAATTTTGCGTGCTGTTGCGCAAACGGGACAGACATGTTGAATTTGGTGGCTGGGCTGCACAAGTGTTGCTCTGGCCCAGGGACATCTATGTGGTGAGCAGTTAACAGTTATTTACGCATTAACAGTAATTAACAGTATTCAATGCAGAGGTTGTTTTTGGTGTCCCGTCCCAACTATCTTGGCGGAAGGCAACTTCTGTGCAAAATCGGATCAAAGCTCTTCACCCAGAAAAGTCTTAGATTGTATGAGATCAGTGGGCAACGCCGTGTTCTGCTGGACCTGTGCGGCTTTTGATTGCCCACACGCGCCAGGACACAGGAATCCGGGAAGCTTCAATGCCCAGCTCTGTTCCAGTCGACTCCTGGAGGAAATCCTCTGGGATGAAGTGGCGGGCAATAGCAACCATAGCATGCTTACAAAGGTCGGCCATGGATTAGGGCTGCAAATTGCGTTAATCACCAAGGCAGCCTCCATCCTGGCTGAAGGTCCGGGCCCCAGAGCTCGCAAAGAAGGGACGAAGCGAATATCCACGAAAGCCCCGGCAACCTCTTTAGGCCTTAATTCCAACAAAACACGTATGTACTATATACATCTATATACTATACGTGTGATGATGCAGACATGGCACAGAATAGCAGCTTCCATTTTCCCGTTAAGCAGAAAAATCCTCCAGGCAAGGATGATGCCCCACTGAATGCCTGCACAGTGGAAGAGCGGTATCCCGGCTTCAGCACGTCTTTGAAGATGGGTCAGTGAGGGGCCTTGGCGCACAACAGAAGTCATGCCAGGCGGCCAAGTGGATCCATCCTGGAGGAGTCAACACCTGAGCTTGCAGTCTTGAAGCCTTTATATTCCAGAGTTCTTGTCGAGCGGCGTTAGAAATTGAGGGGGTTCTTCTGAAGCTGTGTGCTCCATGATTGCCCACAAGGTGGTTTGTGGAACCCACCTCAGACTTCGAGCTGTGGAGATCCCGAGGCCAGTCTGGCCAAGTTGCCAGAGCTTCAGAGGTGTCTTTGTGAGCAGCGCTTGTTTTCTTGCTTGTCTGACCCCCCGCGTTCGACCAGCACGATTTGCTGATATGCATCTTCAAAGATCTCACCATCCTCCATCTCAACAGACATTGCTCTTTCTCTCCTGTTACTGCCGCGTGGAGGCTCTAACTCAGTGAACATCAGATGCCAAGCAGCCAAGCGAAAAGCAGAGGCAGGAAGATGTCCTTGCGGCGCAGTTGCAAGCCAGGCTAGGATTCAGATCTTGTCGGAGGTGAATTCTGGGGTGTAGTGTAGAAGCTCTTAGCTGCAGGTGGGCTTTGTTTTGGAACTATTCAGCTGATTCCCATGCTGCCTTGACCATTTGGCAGGAAGTCCACTGTCTGGAGTGCGTGAGCCACATCCCGGACAGCACAGCTATCGTGGAACGCATTTTGTCAACAAGATGCATCTGCTGCTGTGGGCCTCAATCTATCACAATTTCGAATATTTTTGCTCGATCGCAAGGTTTTTCTGGAAATTGATGACTAGCAGCTTTAGCGGGCTGCTTCGCGGCAGGACCTTCTCTTCGCGCCTTGGACTTCAGATGGTGACGCTACGCTCCTCCCAAGCGAGCGACGAAGGCTTTCAAGAGAGCATGTCTCGGCCGCCAAACATCTAGCTTTACACATGTTGTTCAGGGAAAGATGCATGTTGCATGGCGAAGCGATTCTTGCTGCTTTTAGTGGCTTGTTGTCTCACAAGCAGAAGCATCATTGTGGCAAGCACCGCAACACCTGTTTGGGTTTTTGTCGTGCAGAGGCGGGCAACCCTCGAGCTGTTGGCGTCCGTAATGCAGGCCAGGCTCATCTCTCCCTGGAGGACGCCGTTTCGTAGCTTCTTGTGTTTGAGCTTGCAGCAGATCTGCTGCAGGTGGTAGGTCCGCAAGATGGCTGTATGTTTTCATGATCGCCGTGTGGTATGTCATCAGAGGTGACATGCACAGCGTGGAGCAGTCAGAACTGCTTTGTATACATGTAGACTTGGGCAGTAAGCGTGGCTTGGACGATACTCTTCCGGACCTAACTTTAGGGTGGATCCAAGCATCTTCAGCCGCAGGAATGGAAGCATGAAGCTTTGCCGGCGTGCAGTTGGGGACAAAGCCGCCTTTTGTAAAGCTGCTGCCGTGACCGTTCCTGCTTGAAGCAGGGATGTGCTGGTGGCTTTGCTTGTGCATCTTGTGCACTGCTGAGCTATTGCTGTTTCGAGCAGGCGGCGAGGAGGCTCTGCGAGGCTCTGTAGATTTCCGCAAATGATCAAATACCGGATGCCAACCTGACAACCTGACACTGTCCGGTGCTCACGCTGCCCATGCTGCCCGTACTATAACCTTCTACAACGCCTTGCTTTGCACAACTGGTACTTCGTTAATGGCTGATGAGGACCTTGTACACTGGGGTCTGACTCAAAGGCAGCGTGACGCTTCAGATCGTGTCATGGACTCAGGGAGTGAGTGCTAGCTTTGCTACTTCGCACTTCCGGCGAGCGATTTTCCCTTCTCCGAGCAAAAGGAATCGCACGGTTCAGCCTCCGCATGGCTTTTGGACACGCACGTCATGGTTCAGCGGTGTCGCAGTTTTCAACTCTAGGAGTCGTATTCAAACTGCAACCTGATCCATGCCATTCTCAAGACGGGGGTGGTTGGCAGCCCTACTTGTAGCGCGGGACTGGGGGTACAGCGTATACAAAGGAGAAGACAAAGGAGAAGAGGGGAAGGGCGCCCTTCCGAGGAGCCTAGAGAGGTTCCATGGAAACCCACAAATCCTCCTGGATGAGCGAAAAGCGGTCAAAGAAAGCATTTACAAACCGCCGGTCATCCTCGCACCTGGATCGACGCAGTCGGAAGATGAAGTTATAAAGGGGGAGAGCAGCTCTCCGGGGTCAACTCGAAGAGAGAACGCGGAGCAGAAAGACCTAATTCCAGCGGATGCTCAGGATCCGCACTGAAGGATGCGCCAAGAGCCGTTTTAGTTTATGTATTTGTCATGTGCTTCAGACCGGTGCCTCCGTTCCGACAAAGCGGGAGCATGTGGACCAGATTCTAAAACGGGCCTCGATGTGAAAGAACAGCGGATTGAGGCAGTGAGGAAATCAACTAGGGTGCTTCATAATCACTTACAAATGGAATGGAACTTATTTTGCCAGAAGCTTTGCGTAGCGTCAGCAGAAGACAGCAGGACCGTTGCAACAGGATCGTTGTGAGGAGAAGTTTCGCACCCCCTTAAAGGGGAAAGGCGACACAGGTTGGCAACGAGGCAGAACCGTGTCGGGTCGCTTTTCCAGGGAAGACAAGCAAACGAAAGGAAACCAAGGGAAACACGCGGGAACTTTTTACTCGCGAACAGAGCTGCAGAGCAGTGATTCGAGTGAAGAAACTGAAACTATTATGTTCGTGTCGCCAATTGTGCCGAATCACCCTTTCCGTAATTTAGCAGGAGCAGAGTGCTCTGCTGCATGATGTTGCGGGGCACGTATCGTTTAGTTTGGCTTTCATCTGGCAATTTGCTATGTTGCGAGCAAGCATCGTTCCACGGCAGAAGTCTTCCCCCTGCCCATGTCGCTGGGTGAATCGTCGCAGGTTCTTCATGCTTAGATGAATTTGGGAGAGAGCATTGATTGGTTTGCAGTTGGAGATCCTTGCCTAGGGGGCGCGCCTATAGCCCGATGCAACTTTCATTGAAGGTTGTGTAAAGGCTGTTGACTCAAAGCTAAGACTGAACCCCTTTGATTTTGAGACTGTCGCGACTTGGTGGAAATCCAACAACGTACTTGCTTAGGCGGAAGAGATTCATTCCGCGTTGCATTTCCAGTGGGCCCACATCAAGCGTAGCCTCGAAGTTCAGAAACACTTGGTGTGTAACCTTCGTCATTTATCTTGATGGAAAGTGCGAGCTCTATGAGTGAACCTGACAGGTCGCGAGGAGCAAAGACAAAAGTATTTTGCCGTTTGACATGCCCACCAGCTGGTGACACCGTGCTACCATGCCACAAGAAAACTATCAGTAGTATGATCGGGCAGAGGAGAACATTCAAATCCAAACGCCTATGACTTGCCACCAGTAGTGATCACAGGAGGATGAGGATGGATCATTTCTCTTCGAGCAAAGCCTCCCACCTTCACCACGGACGGCTTAACCTGTAGTGCGGCCCGGTTTCATGCAAGCCGATTGCTGGTATGAAGAGTTGCAAATCAAGAGGTCTTGAGTCCATCAATTCGGCTCCTGCAAATTTCCACCGCATCAACATGTCTCAAAAAAGGCTCATCCTAAGCGAGGCTGAAGAATGCCCAGCATTCACGATTGAGAAGTAATGTCAGGACTTTGTCCTGACAACGCTTTCACAATCCCCGTTCAGATACCCCTTATACAATGGGTGGGTGTACCCCCCCGTTCAAAATTGGAATCCATGCCATGAGTTGACGTTACCCCCCCCCCCTCCCCCGCATTTCATAAGAAAGCGAATTACCGTCGACACCCCCCACTTCATAAAGCACTTATGTTTTCATACAGACAAGGGGGTGTAACTCCACGGTGACACGGGGGGGGGGGTTACCCAAAAACGGAGTGGGGACGTAGCACCCTGCACTGGTGCCCGGATGTTTATGGGTTGATGTGTTTCGCAGGGTCCAGGTCTGAGCAGTGCCATTTGGGTGGCACAAGTGCACTTCTCAGGTTCCAGCTTTAAACCTGTCATCGCAGTCTTTTAAGCATCGAGCAGCATTCCTGCCAGTTTTGAATTGGCCATGGCAAAGCCGCTTTGCTGCACAACATGAGCGCTGTCGCCCTGTCCCGGCACCGAGCAATGGAGCATTGGCCAAATTGAGAACTGAGGCCTGTCAGTCTGAAGCGCAGGTTCCAGGCCAGGTGAAATCTCACATGACGGAGCCTTTGAGCACCTGCGTTTGAGTGATTAGCGTGGACACTCGTTTCCATGCCACGTCCTTGAACTCTGCAATAGAGTCACTACACACGCGCATGGATTCAACAGCTGCTTTTGCAGGCATGAGCCAAGCATGACACAGAACGTCAGGCAAAGTGCTGGGTCTAAGCGTGACCGTTGACGACAGGACGAAGATGGAAGTCACATCGAACTGAGCGGTCAGGAGCTGGCACACTCGGGATCCGAAGGACTGATAGGACGTGATATGACATGCTTGGCACTCTCACACTGCCACCACCTTGTGGCTTGGCTTGAAAGGAGATGCCCAAAAGAAGACAGATGAACTGGCGAAGGCGCAGATCATTCAGTGGCTAGCCTTCACGTTGTTGCGCCCATTCAGAGGCTATCGCTGAAGAGCACATGCACGAGGCCTCACTTGGTAGTTGGTCCTTCTTTAGGATAGCCAAGCTCGTGTACGCCAAAGTCGTGCCTGAGCTCTTTTGCCGACTCATCTTGCCGAGATCAATCCTGAAGTAGACAAAGGAAGTGTCGGCAGCTTCAACAATTCATTGGGTTTGCTGTTGCTGCTGTCTTGTTTTGCAACTTGTTACCAGCTGTTCTGGGGATTTGCAATGCTGTGGATCCTCGCCTGTCAAAGGTACCTGACATTGACAAACCTTTTGTTGGCGCACAGCCAAAGCTGCTGAAGATGCCAAGAATAGCTGATGACGATGCCGCTTGTACGCATCAAGCAACAAACCACTTAGCAACTCAATCAAGGGACGTCTGCAAGGGTCTAGCTTTGATGTTCGCAGAATGAATGAACGTTGTCAATCGTAATTCTTGCTAATGCAGTGTAGGCTCGGTGCTTGCGTTTCACCATGTATGGTGTAGCGTCGGCAGGGCGCCCTCTCCGGCACACCTGGTCATGGTCCCTAAAGGATGAACTGCCCTCCGGCCCAGGTGAGCTATCAAAGGGTTAGACTAGGAAATCTTGAGATATTAAAACTACTAGAACTCGCCAGAGGATGCAAAATTTGGAATGGTTCTGAGACTGCAGATGTGCAAATTACAGCGCTTGGAGGTTATCGCAAGCTGCCAAACATTTTAAATGCAATTAGGAAGAAGTTCGGTCTGCAACGAAGGCACACGTCACACACATGCAGTTTGAACTCATGGCAGCAGTCAAGACGTCAGCAGGTGTCCGACCCCCGCAAGCAAGCCAGCAGCTTGCTCTGATCAGATACGCAGCCCTCCCCATCTGCAAACATCATGGTCAGACCACCCTTCCATGTTTGCAAATAGTGTGTCGGCAGCAGCTGGAAAATTGGAAGATCTTGAAAAGCCAAGAATTCTGCACAGAAGTGCGTTCAGTTTTTTAAAAGCTGGAAAGCACAGCGTGGATAGCACAAAATGGCCAGTTACTTGTGAATTATATGAGTCATACTACTTGTACCGCGTCCGTCTCTGCCAGACGCTGTGAACACGTCGCAAGCAGCGGGACGGTCGCGGGGGCCACAGTCCTTCCCATTTGCAAACACCAAGCTTAGATCTTCCCACATGTGCGGACATCTCTTTCTTTCTGTGTTTCATTCATTCTTTCTTTCTTGCTTTGGGTCTTTTATTGTCCTTCTTACTTGGGGCTCTCATCTTCGTCTTGTTCTCTCTTTCTCTCTTTCTTTCTTTCTTTCTTTCTTTCTCTCTTTGTGTGCCTCTTTCTGTCTAGATTTAGGAGACGGTCTATCCTGTAAGCAGCGTGTGCAGTATTGCTGGAAGTGCCGAGTTTCTGCTACCTTTAATCAATTCTCAAGCATCGAGACTTAGAAGGGTTAATGGCTTTTTCGAAAGAGCTGCTGCCAGGGCTTGCGGCTGAACTGGTCCGGCTGGGAATTTCTCTTGTTGGGGAGAAGCCAGGTTCCTGTCACTCTGGTGCTGACTTGGTGCAACTCACGGACAGAAGCATTTACTGGGAGTCAGAGGCCAGGGCTTGCAGAGAGGACTTGAGGAGATTTTTTCGCTGCGAGGCTTTTTGGGATACCTGTCAGAATCAGTTACGTTGGATGTGGGTCCTCTTTGTTGCTGGGGTGGTCAGTGGTCTTTGTGCCGGCTACATCCTAGGAGCTGGATTCAGCGTGCCTCCGTTGGCAGGGCAGAACAGCGTCAGCAGCTTTAGTCCCCCAGGTCGTGTCTGAACAGAGACCTCGCGGCGAGGGATCCATAGAGGAGAGCAAAGTTGAACTGGCTGCGGTTAGAGCGCGTGCTCGTGTGCTTCGTGGAGGATTCTGGAGGATGACATCTACACCCACAGGGTCGAGCGTAACTTTTTTTGCTCGCAACCCTCTCAACATCGTTGTGCCTAAAACTGGCGCCGAAAAGTGGTTGACGCAACTATGTCTGGGTAATGTCCAAAAATTTTTGGTCGCAACTTCCTCAAATAAGCTCTGTCATTGGAAAAGCATTGGCGCGTGTGATTTTACACACATTGATCGTCATTTTTCTACACATCTGCGTCGTGTCTGCAGATCGCTAGATCGTCTTGGCGGCATTATGCTCATGGAGTTGCCTGTGTCTCGCTGGCTATACTTGCGATGCCGCATCAGTTTAGGAAAGTGTGCATAGAAAAGCGTTATCCGGGCGGGCCATGCTACAGAAGCAATATGCTGATTGATAGGCTTGCGTATAGTAGCTCCAGCCCATGGTGTGTGAGTAGCTGAAGAATGTAGTTCTGGTTCCAAGCTCGTCATGAAAAAAAAAGAGAGTATACGAAGTAA